GCCGAGCTCGTGCGCGTGCCAACGCCTAGCGCTAGAGCCGAGCTCGCGCACGGACATTACGCCACGCACTTGAGCCGAGCTCGTGCGCGTGCCAACGCCTAGCGCTAGAGCCGAGCTCGCGCCCGGACATTACGCCGCGCACTTGAGCCGAGCTCGTGCGCGTGCCAACGCCTAGCGCTTGAGCCGAGCTCGCGCACGGACATTACGCCGCGCACTTGAGCCGAGCTCGTGCGCGTGCCAACGCCTAGCGCTATAGCAGAGCTCGCGCACGAACATTACGCCGCGCACTCGAGCCGAGCTCGTGCGCGTGCCAACGCCTAGCGCTAGAGCCGAGCTCGCGCACGGACATTACGCCGCGCACTCGAGCCGAGCTCGTGCGCGTGCCAACGCCTAGCGCTAGAGCCGAGCTTGCGCACGGACATTACGCCGCGCACTCGAGCCGAGCTCGTGCGCGTGCCAACGCCTAGCGCTAGAGCCGAGCTTGCGCACGGACATTACGCCGCGCACTCGAGCCGAGCTCGTGCGCGTGCCAACGCCTAGCGCTAGAGCCGAGCTCGCGCACGGACATTACGCCGCGCACTCGAGCCGAGCTCGTGCGCGTGCCAACGCCTAGCGCTAGAGCCGAGCTCGCGCACGGACATTACGCCGCGCACTCGAGCCGAGCTCGTGCGCGTGCCAACGCCTAGCGCTAGAGCCGAGCTCGCGCACGGACATTACGCCGCGCACTCGAGCCGAGCTCGTGCGCGTGCCAACGCCTAGCGCTAGAGCCGAGCTCGCGCACGGACATTACGCCGCGCACTCGAGCCGAGCTCGTGCGCGTGCCAACGCCTAGCGCTAGAGCCGAGCTCGCGCACGGACATTACGCCGCGCACTCGAGCCGAGCTCGTGCGCGTGCCAACGCCTAGCGCTAGAGCCGAGCTCGCGCACGAACATTACGCCGCGCACTCGAGCCGAGCTCGTGCACGTGCCAACGCCTAGCGCTTGAGCCGAGCTCGCGCACGGACATTACGCCGCGCACTCGAGCCGAGCTCGTGCGCGTGCCAACGCCTAGCGTTAGAGCCGAGCTCGCGCACGGACATTACGCCGCGCACTCGAGCCGAGCTCGTGCGCGTGCCAACGCCTAGCGCTAGAGCCGAGCTCGCGCCCGGACATTACGCCGCGCACTCGAGCCGAGCTCGTGCGCGTGCCAACGCCTAGCGCTTGAGCCGAGCTCGCACGGACATTACGCCACGCACTCGAGCCGAGCTCGTGCGCGTGCCAACGCCTAGCGCTAGAGCCGAGCTCGCGCACGGACATTACGCCACGCACTCGAGCCGAGCTCGTGCGCGTGCCAACGCCTAGCGCTAGAGCCGAGCTCGCGCACGGACATTACGCCACGCACTTGAGCCGAGCTCGTGCGCGTGCCAACGCCTAGCGCTAGAGCCGAGCTCGCGCCCGGACATTACGCCGCGCACTTGAGCCGAGCTCGTGCGCGTGCCAACGCCTAGCGCTTGAGCCGAGCTCGCGCACGGACATTACGCCGCGCACTTGAGCCGAGCTCGTGCGCGTGCCAACGCCTAGCGCTATAGCAGAGCTCGCGCACGAACATTACGCCGCGCACTCGAGCCGAGCTCGTGCGCGTGCCAACGCCTAGCGCTAGAGCCGAGCTCGCGCACGGACATTACGCCGCGCACTCGAGCCGAGCTCGTGCGCGTGCCAACGCCTAGCGCTAGAGCCGAGCTTGCGCACGGACATTACGCCGCGCACTCGAGCCGAGCTCGTGCGCGTGCCAACGCCTAGCGCTAGAGCCGAGCTCGCGCACGGACATTACGCCGCGCACTCGAGCCGAGCTCGTGCGCGTGCCAACGCCTAGCGCTAGAGCCGAGCTCGCGCACGGACATTACGCCGCGCACTCGAGCCGAGCTCGTGCGCGTGCCAACGCCTAGCGCTAGAGCCGAGCTCGCGCACGGACATTACGCCGCGCACTCGAGCCGAGCTCGTGCGCGTGCCAACGCCTAGCGCTAGAGCCGAGCTCGCGCACGGACATTACGCCGCGCACTCGAGCCGAGCTCGTGCGCGTGCCAACGCCTAGCGCTAGAGCCGAGCTCGCGCACGGACATTACGCCGCGCACTCGAGCCGAGCTCGTGCGCGTGCCAACGCCTAGCGCTAGAGCCGAGCTCGCGCACGGACATTACGCCGCGCACTCGAGCCGAGCTCGTGCGCGTGCCAACGCCTAGCGCTAGAGCCGAGCTCGCGCACGAACATTACGCCGCGCACTCGAGCCGAGCTCGTGCACGTGCCAACGCCTAGCGCTTGAGCCGAGCTCGCGCACGGACATTACGCCGCGCACTCGAGCCGAGCTCGTGCGCGTGCCAACGCCTAGCGCTAGAGCCGAGCTCGCGCCCGGACATTACGCCGCGCACTCGAGCCGAGCTCGTGCGCGTGCCAACGCCTAGCGCTTGAGCCGAGCTCGCGCACGGACATTACGCCGCGCACTCGAGCCGAGCTCGTGCGCGTGCCAACGCCTAGCGCTAGAGCCGAGCTCGCGCCCGGACATTACGCCGCGCACTCGAGCCGAGCTCGTGCGCGTGCCAACGCCTAGCGCTTGAGCCGAGCTCGCGCACGGACATTACGCCGCGCACTTGAGCCGAGCTCGTGCGCGTGCCAACGCCTAGCGCTAGAGCCGAGCTCGCGCACGGACATTACGCCGCGCACTCGAGCCGAGCTCGTGCGCGTGCCAACGCCTAGCGCTTGAGCCGAGCTCGCGCACGGACATTACGCCGCGCACTCGAGCCGAGCTCGTGCGCGTGCCAACGCCTAGCGCTAGAGCCGAGCTCGCGCACGGAAACAGTCACTCACACCATGCGCCTTCCATAAACGCAGCAACCAAGTCATGGCAAACGCATCGCTAGCCAAGCTCTCTTTTTGGGGATCATGAGCACGGCCACAGCCGGGGCCTAAGTTCCAAACCAATAAACAAACTCAATCCATAAAATAAACAACTCTTAAACGCATCTCGTCTCTTGTAGTCTCTCCAGGTTGAAATGGAGCTTAAGCGGAGGTTCAGCATGGTAGACTACCTACGTTATCACACAAGGCTTGACCACGCCTTACTCAGCCTGTCTTAATCAACTCCCCGCAGCCGTGTCAATCAAGCCAGCGTTTAAGAGCAAAGCAGAGCACAGCTCACCAAACGGACTTCAAGCTGCAACCACCTCCTCCCCACCTCCGCCTCAGGAATTCTTCACTCTCACCTTCACCTTGCCTTATTGCCACCACCAGTGTCTAGGCCCCGGGGGATCATGATCTGCACCCAGGCGCAGATCTCTTCAGAGCACGGCCACAGCCGGGGCCTAAGCTCCAAACCAATAAACAAACTCAATCCATAAAATAAACAACTCTTAAACGCATCTCGTCTCTTGTAGTCTCTCCAGGTTGAACTGTTGATCTGTTACCTTTTACAACAGGGAGGCACGACAAAGGCACACAAAACCGTTTGAATGTCTTGTCAAAGCTCGTAAGCAACGGGGCATTTGTGAGAGCAGAGAACAAAGAGCCAGCTGACCTCCTGGACTCCGATAATCACCATTATTATAGAGGCCTTGTCCTCAGGTAACTGTGGGCCTCGGTGTGGGCGACAATGACAATGACTAGTTAAGTGTGAAGTTATGCCTGCCTAAAAGTAAGACATTAGGCAAGATCCACACAAAGTCAAAACGTGTATAGAAACACACATGAACTATGCCGGGCCTGTTGGGGGCACTGTGACGCACTGTGATCAGAGCCAGACATCCGGATTTAGTGGGCATACTCACTGCAGAAATATGTAAACAGACTTCAGGTGTTGCTGTAATAGGGCCCTCTCCTCTCCTGTCAACTCCTCTTCTGTCCTGTGTCCTCTCTTCTCCCCTCTCCTCTCCTCTTGCCTTTCGCCTGTCTCCTCTCCTCTGGCCTCTCTCCTGTCTCCTCTCTCAATTCAATTCAATCCCTTTTCAATCTGCAACCACACATCCTTCTTAAAGAACGTCTACAAATGTCCGTCAACCCATACATAATCAGATGGTATCACTCTTTCTTATCCAGCAGGGTTAGGGTGGACATACACTAGTCTACACTACCGAGTAGACTCAATCTGGTAGGCTACCTGCTGCAGCTTTTCACTGTCGGCCAGTTACGCAGCACTGCTAACCAACGCAAATTAAAGAAGCTCTACCCAATTTATTTTCTAAGGAGTTCAAAAAATGTGTATTACTACATACAAGTTGTTTTAAAATCTGTAATTTAATTGAAAACATGAGCTCATTGATTCAGCTGTGTATGAATTCAGGCCGTAAAAAGTGCTGAGTAGAAACTTTAGCGAGACGCTCGCTCTCCTCCAATCACAGAACAGGCTGCGTCCTCTAGCCTCTGCAGCGCTGCTAAACACAGTAGCATGTTAGCAGAAAGTGGCTATAACTCCTCTGGCTGTAACTGCAGACACAGCAAAACAGCCCAAATGACACAACAGTGAGGAAGAAAAGAGGGAACTAAAGCAAAAAATTTATCAAAGAAGAAATCAAGCCCGGGTGACCATAGGTAGTTTACATCGTATCATCCGGAGAGACCTGCGGGTGCGGGACTGCCTCGGACTACATTTGGACGCAAAACTAGCGGTAATCTTTCAGTTATATATTTTGTTAGCAGTGCGTTGCTTTTTTACCATTTCATCAGTGATTGTTGTACGGCTTACAAGAAGTTGCGCTAATTCTAATGTTTGCATACGTTTCAGATCGCAAATAAAACTAGATGGCTTTGTTGGAGGAGAGTGTGGCAGTCGGAGTGGATTTTCAACTTTCAAATAAAACTGAGGAGTACCAACAACGCCACCCAGGGCCAGTACCTAGGAAAATGTGAGCTAATTGAATTAAACAAGCGCACAGGGCCGTGGACATTGACGAGACGTGAACAGTGTTAGAAATGTACAAAATTATTTATTTTATTACAATGATTAAAACACTATAGGCCTATAGGAATAGATAAAAATGGTTAAACAGCATTAATTTGTACAGGTTGGACAAATTAAGCAAGCAAAATAATGCAAAAAAACACCTTACGGGAAGCAAAGGAAATTAATGGGAAAACATGCAAACAAATTACAAAAAGGCAAAACAAGCCATGCAGCAAGACACGCATGCAGCAAAACATTAAATGCAAGCAAATCAAACAAACTCAAAACACACAAAATAACTCACCAAACAAAGGGGGTTAACCCAGGGAATGCACAAAAGTGTTAAAATGTCCTTCCCTGTAATGCATGGGCTATTTAATCATCACTTCTGTTGAACGCCGTTTAGTCGGAGCGCACCTGAACGCCTCGCAGAAGACTCCCCACAGCAGTGCTGGTGCGTGGGCGAATCAGAGTGCGCCTTTCACGGCACCGTGAGGACAGTGCACAGTGGTGAGTGTTGTGTATGAGGACAATGAATGGACAAAACAACGATTTCTTTTCTGGGGCGGCGGCCCCCGCTTGGGACCGCACGTGGACAACCGTGCCTGCAAAAGGAGAGACACGAGTCTTAGAAGGATTGGAGGAAACTAAACTAAACTTTGTGATCTTACCGGCCAACGCAAGACTCGTGCGCACGGACAGCGGGAGGAGGGGGAGAGCCAGGTGGATTATTGGCTGGTCCCTACTGCAGATTGGAGTCTGAAGCAACAGTGTTTGATGGTCAGCTTTGGCACAGGGCCAACCAATAAAAGGATGGACAATGAGCCACTTACCGAGGAGGAGGACATGCACACACGCACAACCCAGACTGTGGCGCCCAAGCCCACAAGCGTGCTCCATAGAGGAGGCAGCCGGTCACCAAACGCTGCGACCACCGCACCCAAACAAAGACATATGCGTGCGCGCTGCGCGTTCCCGTGTCTTTATGGGCACTGCTCGGTGACGCCCACCAATCAGCTCAGGGTAAGGTGTACACCCGACATGCCACAAGAGCTTAGAGGAAATGAGAGGCCTGTGAGCGAGTTGGGGGGCGGTGCTAAACATTCAAACAAAAAAACCTTGCAGAAACGGGTAAAAGTCCTTTAAGCAGCTGTTTTAAAGCGGAAACTTCCCAAAATCTAACCCTTTTCCCAAGCCTTGCAAGTCACTTTTGTCTTTTTTAAGCCTCACAACCACCACCTCCCTGCCTCCTCCTCAACCTTCCAGCCACGCTCTCATCTCAACTTCACCAAGTTTCTATCGCCATTACCTGGACCTCATACTACCACCGGTACCTTAGCCTGGTCGTACCACACCATGTAGCATTTATCCTAGCCATCTCCTTTGCCGCTAACGGAGCCCGTGGGGAGTAGCGCCACAATCTTTGCCAGAAATGACTTTTACTATACATTCCTCTTGCTCCGGCTTCCATTTCTTGATAGACCTAGTCCGGAATACTTTACTAACACATTCTTCGCCATTGCCAAATTACAACCAGCCCGTTTGGCGCAAACTCTTGACCTCACCCACAACTAACTACAACATCCGGCTCCCGCGCTCGCTTATTGGTTGGATGGAATTAAACCGATGTAATCACAAACAGAGGGACCAGACCCAGGCGTTACATGCAGGGAAATGATTGACCTGAGAGTACGGATGGCTAAGGCCAGGCTACCAGTACCTAGGTCCTGGGGGATTATAAGTGGCCACAAAGGAATGATCGTCACAGGGTGCCAAACAAACTAATGAATAAACTCATTTAATGAAATGTTGAGTCTGTGTATTCTCTCTAGACTGAAATTACTGTACCAGCAGCCATTCCAGCACTTTAATTATTGATTTTTCAGATGATACTGTCATATTAGGACTCATGGACAAGATTCAGATTCAGAAAACTTTATTGATCCGAAAGGGCAATTCATCTATAGCATAAACTCAAAGCAGAACACACATACTCTACACAAACACACAGTGAGTCTCACAGTTCATACAGCAGCAGTTTGGTCTTCCCGGCCTTGTTTTTTTAAACAGGGTCTCAACCGTGTTTTGTGAAACCTCATTTCCATTCAAAGGCTTTAGTGACTTCCTGCAATTATTAATGTCATCTGAAACATAATTTCTTTCAAAACGAGTAAACAAAAAATTAAAAGCACTGGGCAAGTTGGTCTCAGACACATTGTTTACAATGACAGGTTATCTGTCCTCCTTCTGATGACCCATAGAGGCCATGTTCTTAATCCCCCTCCAGGCTGCTCTTATGTCCCCACTGCTGTACTGGGCTTCAACTTTGTCTCTATAGCTTTATCAGGTTTTCCTTATTTCTGTTTTTACTTCCTGTGAAGCATATTTTTTCTCCACCTGGTCACCGGTACAATAGGCCATTTTCTTTCTATTTATAGTTGATTTCAAATCTTAAACATTGGGGGACTAGTTATATGAATAAATAACTCATATGTAACTTTCAACACAGAAAGTTACATATGAGGAGATTGTATCACACAATATAGTGATATCATCCGGGGCGGCGCCAGGGGGGGGCTAGGGGGGGCTTGAGCACCCCCTGAGATTGTCAAAGCACCCCCAAAGATTTATGCCTCTTAATCATAGGAGAACTAGTTATCTCTACAGACATTCATAGTGCATTATAGGCTGTTTCATGTGAAAAGGAGTATGTGGGACAAATAATAATTTTAACTAAAGGAGAGTGCCTGGGCCGCCCAGGCTAAGACCCATTTTTACGTTAATACGGCCGTGCATCAGAACGCATGGTCAGCGACGCTCCATGTCGGACTGAGCGTGACTCCATGTTCATTATAGTCATGACATTTACCATTGATTTTATCAATCATTATGAGACAATATTAAGTTAGGCTGTAAATAAAATAAAATCCAAAAAGCTCACATTCGCGCAGAGCAATTTCCCGCGCCTGAAGTGTTGTTTGTCCTAATGTCCTTACTGTCCGAATGCTATAGTGGCCCAAGTAAATAAATGTGAGCAAAATGGAGCGTTTTTTGGTCCCTAAACGACCCCGAGTGGAGTCTACGGAAAATGAGTCGGGGAATGCCGTTTGTACAAACTCAAAATCTATGCCAAACACCTGTGAGGAAATCTCTTCAAACTCTGAGGAGGAGGAGGAGGAAGGTAAAAGAGTGCCACCGCGGGCCGAAGCTAATGAGGCGACCGATGCTAATGAAGCTGCAGGTTCTAATGTGGTTTCGGGTACTGCTGGTCAGGAGTCTCAGTCTTGTACTGATATCAGCGCACATCCACAAAATGGTCCCAGCCAACCACTCCTACAGAAATACCCCACAAGACAATATGGAGCGCAGCAGCGCAGTTTTAATAAAGACTGGTTTGATCTATATTCATGGCTCGAGTACAGCGTTACCAAAGACTCAGTTTGGTGTTTTGCATGCCGTCTTTTTTTAAAACGTGGGGGACCTGGGTTTCATCATCTGGAGGCAACTTTTACAACAAATGGATTTTGTAATTGGCGAAAGGCAACACAAACTCTGAGGGGTCACAACGAAAGTGCTGGTCACAAATTTGCAATGGACCATTGGGGTGAATTTAAACTAAAGGGGACCAGAGGATCAAAAATGGCTAATTTGTTAGACAAAGGACACTCGCAGTTATTACAAGAAAACAGACAATACATTGGAGCTGTAGTTGAGAGCCTTCGCTATACGGCCTGTCAGGGCATAGCGCAGCGAGGCCACAGAGAAGATGAGGAGTCCGCAAACAAAGGGAATTTTTTGGAGCTCTTACATATCATTGCTAAATTTGACAAAACAGTGGCCAAGAAACTTTCAAACATAAGTGGGAATGCAAAGTACACTCACCATGATATCCAGGATGAAATAATATCCGTTATGGCTGATATAATAAGAAGCGAAATCAGTGATGAAGTGAGAGAGGCAGAGCACTTTGCGCTTCTTGTTGATGAAAGCAAGGACGTCAGCAAAAAAGAACAAATCTCAGTTATTGTCCGTTATCTGCATCCCACAGTCGGGAGATGTGCGTGAAGAATTTCTGCATTTCACCCCTGCAGAAGGCCTTGACGCGGAGTCGTTACTCTTATCCATCAAACGCACTCTGAGCCAATGTAAAATAGATGCCAATCACTGTGTTGGGCAGTGTTACGACGGAGCTTCTGTTATGTCGGGGTCAAACAATGGAGTTCAGGAGAAATTCAGAAAAGACGTCCCGCAAGCTATTTACATACACTGTTACGCTCATAGACTGAATCTAGTGTTGGTAGACTGTGTGCGCAACGTGAAACCAGCTACTGAGTTTTTTGAAACAGTAGGGATGCTCTACAGGTTTTTTTCGGGATCTGTTGTTCATGACATTTTTTTGAAGAAACAAAAAGAACTTAATCCATCTCAATGCGTTGAATTAAAACGGCTGAGCGACACAAGATGGGCATGCCAATACAATGCAGTTGCCGCACTCAAGAGCACCATTCCTGCCCTACAAGCCACACTACGCAGCATCCTGGAAGGATCCAATGCGCATAGGAGGGCAGAGGCGAGAGCTATTAGCTCCCTCATTGATGAGTCGTTTATCTTGCATCTTGTTCTTTTTGAAGATGTACTCAGAACAACTAAGTTTATGTCAGATCAGCTACAGGCTCCCAATTTTGATCTTGTAGCAGCAGATGACTTGGCTCAATCAGTTATCACTGCGCTTTCAGAAAAACGCACTGACCAGACATGGGAAAGGTTAAGACAGAAAGCAGAGAGCATGTGTGTCGACAGTGGAATAAGACAGACCCAAAAGGAGAAACGCCAAGTTCAAACAAGACATCAGGAGGGATTTGTTGTTGAGGCTCCTATAGAAAGGGCGCGTACCAATGACATGGATGTGCTTAAAGTAGCGTCATTCTTTCCTGTGTTAGACAAACTGAGAGTGGAGATGAAGCGGCGTTTTTCTACAGAAACAAACAACGTGATGAAAGGTGTACAGGCGCTCTCCCCAAAACATACAGGTTTTCTGGACAAGCAACTACTTCTGCCCATGGCCCAGCATTATGGAGTGCGAGAGGAAAACCTGTCTGCGGAACTACATCAAGTCCGTCGGCTTCTAGAAAGGAAAAAGCAACAGGGACATGCTGTAAAAAGCCCACAGGATTTTCTGCACCTTTTGCGCCCGTACAAAGAGGCCTTTATGGATTTGTTCAAACTGATCAGCATATCCTTGACCCTTCCTGTTACATCAGTGAGCTGTGAGAGAAGTTTCTCGTGCCTGCGCAGACTGAAAAATTATTTAAGAACAGCACGGGACACACGAAAACCTTATTTAACTCTGCTAGAACATGGACAGATAATTAACGGGACACAACAACAGACCTGTTATGAAGTACGTATAAATTGTAAGTATAAATGTTTTGAATGGTATATGCTAGTCTAGTTATTTTGATAAAGGCGTTGATTTGAATGTTTGCTTTGTCTGGCAGTCTCGAGGGAAAGAATGCGCCTACAAGAAACATCCAAATAGTAGGCTATGGGCACAGCCTTGAAAGGAATACAAAAATACAGGCTTTATATCCCTCATTAAATGGACAGTTTTTCGAAGTTGTACTTGATAGCTTATAGGGGACTGTTTTTGTTAGGCCTATGTGTTTATTTTGGTAAAGTGTGTTTCCCTCGGCACAAATAATAAAAATTACAAGATTTTTTTGTTCATCATCGTTCGATTTATTAATCAACAAATAGAGATTATTTTGATTATATTATTATGCTTGATGCAACTCTTGCATGCAGCCAGGGTGTGTTTAAAAGGGGACATTCGTAAAGATGACATGCTGTTATGGCACACTGGAACACACATGTCCTTCCCACGCGGGTCACATAAAAAC